AAAAAAGGCGCTGGCTCTTCTTCTGTGTCTGGAGGATGCTTCCTGCTGAGCTGAGCTGTCCTGCTGGCTTAGGCAGGAGGGATCTGCTTCCAGGACTCGTGTGGGGTTCCCTCAGCCTGAGCCTCTGCCCTGACCTGGGGGATGAACGGCCCCTCCACAGGCAAGCTCACAGGGAGCCTGACCTGGGCAGGAGACCTTCCCTGAGCTTTGGCTTCTGAGGGGATACTGCACCTGGAGCTTCCCTTTCAGTAATGATCATGCCAGACATTAGGTGAAGGGCATTATTTAATCCCTGAGGGACTCACTGAAGTAGGTTCTACTGCCATCCCTATTTTATAGATGAGAAAACAGGTCCAGAGAGGTCTGTAACTCCCCCAAAGTCACACGGTTATTAGCCAGACTATCATCTCCTTGAGGGCCAGACCAGGTCTGCCTTTTCACAGTTCCATGGCCCATGCCTATGCTGGGCACATGGAGAATGAATGAAAGGGCAGACCTGAGCCTGAAACCCACAAGGTAGGGCTGGTACTTCAGCTTCTAACCCCAGAGGGAGGAGGCTGAAGTCAGAAGGAGACTGGAGGCCATTTCCACACAGCTGGTTCAACAGCAAGGCCCAAATGAGAACCCAGGTCTCTGGTCTCCCAGCTGAGGACTCTCTGATTCAGTCAGCTCCCTTTGTTTCATCTTCCAAGACTGGCACAAGTCTGGAAAACCCAGAAGGAGAAGCTGCTGGCACCAGCAGGGAGGGCCACAGAGGCTCAGACTGCACATGGAGGCCACCGTAGTCTGGTGCTGCGAGAAAGGAGTCCCAATCAGGGCCAGCCCCCAGTCCCAGCCCTGCAGACAGGCACAGCCCCCTCACAGGCTGGGCAGAGGGAGGAGCCTGGCTCCATCTCCTATAGGGATGCTTTCCCCAAAGGAGTGGAGGGTGCCAGGCTGCACTGGGCCATGCGGGTGGTGCCCAGGGAGTTAGGGTATACCCCTGGCAGCCAGATCCCTCTAGCAGAGGCTGTGGTGACTTCAACCAAAAGCCCCAGGTCTGGGGAGTGGTGCCACTGTCTTCTGCACACGGGCAGCCCTGGGGACAGGCCTGGCTCTGCAGCAGAGGCGGTAGCTAGGGGAGCCTCGAGGGAGGTGATGCCCTGGGTGAGGGTGGCTCTGCCAGTACACGGAAAGGGTGCCCTTGTGTGTGGGGTGGGGATGAGGGACCCTGGAGACCACCCCAAGTTCTCCATGTTGGAGGGATGGGAGCTGTAGGCCCTGATTCCCTAAGGGACTGGGGCTAGGGAGACCCCAATTTGGCAAAGGACAAGGGGGAAAGGGAAAGCAACAGAATGTATGGTGAAAGAGTTGGGAGCATGGGCTCTAGTGGCAGGTGGCCGTGGGACTGCCCTCCATTTTCCGGTTTATTACTTATTAGCTATGACTTTGGACAAGAGAGGTCTTCTCTCTGAGCCTCAATTTCATCTATGAAAAAGGAACTTAAGATACTGACCTCACAGGGTAGCTGTGTGGTTTAAACAAATGAGGTGAGTCACGCTCAGCACAATGTCTGGAACTTGGAAATCAGATCAGTGGGCAGTAACTTTGCGAGTTAAAGAACAACGTCTCAGCGAGGCCTGCAGCAGGCCTTGCCTGGTCTGGCCCTGCACACCTCTCTGGCCTCCCTGTGAACCAGGCCGACTTTCTGAGCAGCTTGCAATTGCTCCAACATGGTGCCATGCCACCTCTCGGGCCGTTGGTCTCAGCCCACTCACGCACACCCAGGGAATCCCCAGCTCCCCTTAAGATCCCAGCCCAACTGTCACCTCCTGGGGAAAGTCCTTCAAGCGTCCTTCATTCACTCTCATAGCAATTCCATTCCTTCCTAGTACTCACTCACAGTAATCAAACATGCATTCCTGTTATCGTTCCGTCTTCCTCCTCCAACAGATGTTTTGGGGAGGAGGAAGGGCTGGTCTGGGCCCCCAGGGAAGCCCCAGCACCTAGCCCAGGGCCTACCAACAGATTTGCTGAGTGGACTATCAGAGCCTGGCTGCATGGAGCTTGGAGGCCCACTGTTTGGCACACACGTACCGCTGAGCACGTCGGGACTGATGTAGGCAGGGCTCCCCCTCTGGTCCTTCAGCAGGTCCCCCTCGCTCACCAGATGCTTCCCGAGGCAGAAGTTGGTGATGGTTATCCGATGTGTCCTGGGAGTGGGAGACAGAGAGTGAACAAGCCTCTATAGCAACAGGCACAGGACATGCGGGCTCGGCACACCTTGCTGGGCCCACTCCCATCCTGAACAGTAGGAGGTGGGCGTCTCGTTAGAGGGTAAAGCAGCTGCCCCTCCCCCCACCTCTCCAAGGAGCAGAGGAATCAGGTCTTAGCCTCTTCTGGCCACCAGCTGAGCTGTCCCAGCAGGGACTGGCTTCTCTCCCAGGCACCTGAGGGTTACACGGGCCATCCCTGGACCTGTTGCCCTGGCTGAATCTCAGGGTACAGCTTAGAGCTTAGAACAACTTCCAGAGATTTCCCAAAACAGCCTCATGTAATGCTCTAGACTGGGAATGATCTGAGATTTACTTCAATTTCCTGGTTCACACGTGAGAAAAAGAAGTCCAGCAGAGGTCAGTGACTTCACCCTGGAAGGTGACCCAAGGGCCGGCCGTGAGCCACCTCTGCACCACTGAGTATGTCAGCTCACTGTCTCACTTGGCCCCGCAACCAATGCAGAGGAAGAAACTGACAGTGGCCAACGAGGGATTTTCTCATGGTCCTGTTTCAGATGATACAACAAAGGCACAGGGAAGTGAAAGGACTTGGCCAAGGTCACACAGCTGGTGAGCAGAGAGCAGGATCCGAGCCCAGGTCTGTGGGGCCCAGAGCTGCGCACACAACTGACAGCTGCCTTATGCCCAGCTGTGTCCCTGGGCAGGGCCCTAGGCCCTGAATGACTTTTCCCTGTTCCATCAAAGCTGACTCATCCCGTACCTCGTACTTGCAACTCTGCCCTGGCCAGAACATCACAGGCTCTCCCTCTGAAAGGCATGGGGCGGGCAGCTTTGGGCTCTGATCCTTTCAAGAACACTCCCATGTGGACAAAAGCAAGTGGTCCAAGAGGACTCTTACACCACACCAGGGGCTGGGAGGGTGCGCAGGCCCTGTCTACGAGGCCTGGGAAAGGCTTCCTGGCCCACTGGGGCAGGCAGTGAGGAAGGGTGCCTCTCTACCCAACTGCCGTGCTCTTGTGTTGGCTGACTGGCTGGAGAAGCTCGGGGGAAAAGCTGGAGGACGGCAGGAGGGAAAGCTCCATGGGGCCTCGGGTGGCCTCTCCCTACAATCATCTCTCAGAGGCACAGGGCGTGTGTGGCTGCTGGTGGATTTTCCCCAGGAGCTGCATCCAGGAGGCTCCGAGAGCCCTTGGTGATCTTGGGGAATTCTGCTGGCAAAGGGCTTGATGCAAAACAATGGCCAGTCTGTCCTCTGCATTCCCCGTGGAAACGCCAACTCCAGCGCCCACACAGGCCTGTCCTGTCAGCTGCCATAGGAATCTGACTAGTGGCCCACGGGTGGCTAGAGCCTGAGATCACAGGTGAAGCATCGCTGTGAAGGGCCACGTGCATGTCAAGGAGAGGACTGCTCTAGCTCTGATCCTCCAGTACCACTGCCCTGAGTATGGGACCGCTCAGTCCTCTTGTCCAGGTTCCCACAGAGCAGAGGTACTGCGGGTCTTCTCCCCCGGTCAGAGATGGTCGCGGAAACTGCAAAGACAACCTGTGGGTCTCTGAGGCTCAAGACGCTGGGAGGAGGACAGCTCAGGCAACAGTATGGTGGGTTTGGGAGTCAGGTTCCTAGTCCTGGCTCTGCCACTTCCTTGCTCTGTAAATCTCTTGCTAATCCTCAATTTCCTCTTCTTACAACAGTGAAATCGCAGCACCAAACTCCAGAACTGGGCTAGGACTCAGCAAGATAACTTAATCTCCTGGAGGGCACTTAGCCCAGTGCCTGGCAAACAGGAGGCTGGTGTTGTCCTCTCACCTCGATGGTTGGCACACCTGGGAGAAAGACCCTGTCTTGGAAGGCAGTAGGGGAGAGGGCCATGGTGACAACAGGCCCTGGAGGGCACGTGCCAGCGTGGCTGAATTTCAACTCAACACCGCTGGTGGGACTTTCCCGCCCTCTGCCAGGGCAGGCACAGCTGAGACTCTGCAGGGCTGGGTGGCAGGCGCACTGAAGTGTCTCCACAGGATGTGGCACGGGCAGCTCCAAGGCCTCCTGAGGTTTGGCAACACTCCCCTGCCCTGCCACCACCACCCAAGCAGGAGGTGCACAGCTCCCTGGAGTCCCAGACGCCCCAGTCTGGTCTTGACAGGAGGGGGCAAAGGCAGAGCAGGACAGAGGGAGGGACGTGCGTCAGTAGGACCGGCTTGAGTGAGTCACACGTTAGCTATGGCCTCTGGGCTGCCAGCGTTTTTCTCCTTTTCTAGGAACTTAGTTTGTCGCTGGCCTACCAAAAAGAAAGGAGGAAGCAGAAAGAGCCCACAGCACCTCACATAACCCCAGAATAGGATTTCACATTTCAGCCCTTTTACAATCCAAAGCGGAGTGAACTCGCCGTTGCTGCTGCCTTGCCAACACCTCCCCCCATCTGCTCCTTGGGAGCTCTCTGCTCTGCTGAGAAGGCCTCCAGCTGGTCTGCCTGCTGTCTCAGTGGAGTTACGGCCTGGCATGATGGGCGGGAAGGGGTTGGAGCTCCTTCAGGTCAACCCTCAACTGAACAAGGTGAGAGGGGCCCCAGAGCACAGGGTGTGCCAGAGGACGCACGGGAGCAGTGAGTCTCTCTGTACCACACCACCCTGTCCCTCCAGAGCACCCATGACTCAAGTGAAAGGCAGCCAGAACCTCTGTCTGCCCCAAGACACAAAAAGGGGGATTTAGCAGATTCAGGAAGTACAACCAGTACGCTGGGTCTTAGCGAGGCAGCAGCATTCTGCGCCGATGGGCATGCGCACACACTCGCTGCAGAGCTGCTACGGCCATGCCGGAATATGCCGGGAGGTGCGACCCAGCAACTACACTCCTAGGACCAAGGGGGCCTGCAGAGGTGAGAGTTGGAAGCAAACCCCCCCAGGGACACAAAGGAGCCAGGAGTGCTGGTGTGGTTAGCAGGTGTGAGCCCCATGGCATGTTCCTGTGGCAACCCCGGGATGCTCATTTACAGCCATGAATGGCTGCTGTGGAAGGCCTGGGAGCTCTCTAGTCCAGCTGGAGGGGACATGGGCTCTGCAACCAGATGGATTTAGGTGCCCCAAAAATATGCCTCCTCTTTGGGAACAGTGAGCCTGCAGTCCACAGCAAGATAGGACTGGCCCAAGGCCCCAGAGAGGGCCAGGGGAAGGGACAGGACCCAGTCTCCCAACTCTATGACAACTGGCTCTCCGCAGCCCAGGGCTGGTTTGGTCGGGGCTCTCCACCACCTCCCCTCCTCTCCCCGGGCAGACCTATGGCTGGGGGACCGCTGGACCCTCTGCAAGGGTGTCCTTGTCGGCCGCTCAACATGCAGCAGGCCTCATCTCCAGAAGCGTGAGCCCACGGGTCTCGTTCTCCTGTCTCTCAGCCACAGGTTCTCCAGTCCTGGCTAGATTAGCACTGGGGTGTGCTTGTGATACACCAAACCCCATCATATTAGGTAGCCTCCCACCCGCTTATTTGCATCTCAGGTCAATCTTCCCAGGAAGGCAAGATTATCTTCACTTTCACAGACGAGGAAATGGAAGCTCAGAAAAGTGCTTGGTACCTCAATATATGAATTCAATCAATTAATAAGTAACCAAACGAATACACTCTCACAGTCCCCAAGATAATTAAGAGGCGGCCCTGGGAAGTGAGCCAGGTCTGACCCCCACGTCGGTGCTACTTCCGTCCTCCTAACTCACTCACTCAGCCAGTCCAGGGTTCAAGCAGCCCTGGAATTTCCTGTCTCCCTCCCTCCGCCCTCTGCAGAGCATGGCAGGGCAAGGTTCTCATCACTTCACTTTTTCAGCCTGGGAAATCCCAACTCATTCTTCACAAATCAACTCAGGTGGCAGCCACTGTCCCCTTCACATGCCCCTCGCCCTCTGCACGCTGATCCTCCACACATGGTACCATCTTCTGGTCAGTACCCCATCAGACGGTGGGCTCCAGAGGGTAGTGACAACTGCTGAGAGTTTCTGTCTGCAGCCCAGGCACCAGGCGGTGCCAGTAGAAGGATGGGAAGGCTTAGCCGCTGAGGAGCACAGCATCCTCCCGATGGCCTCTCAGGCTGGAGCAGTGGGGGTGGAGCCCCCAGCGGTAATTCCCCATCAGTTGGGACGGGGCACAAGGCAATGGCCCCCTCCCTGGAGACCAACCTCCGGGCAGTTTCTTTTCCTCTGGCCCTGTTAAAGGACAGTGGGCCCCGGACCCCTGCTGGGCTGGACTGGCCACATCATGGAATGAACCAGCCACAACACGTCTGGTGTGAGATTCAGGCTGCCTCTGTGAGCCCTCCAACCAGCTCAACACTGAGGTGAGAGGTGAGGGAGGGAGGCTCAGGAAGAATGGGTGGGTGTGGGGCGGGGGAGGTGCGCCCTTCTCAGCCCTGCATTTCAAGGATCGTGGTAGCCCACAGCATGGGCCCATTTCCTGCTGGTCCTGGGCTCCTATGGGGTTGGTGGTCCCTCCAACATGCTGAGACTTGGTAGCACCATCCCAGATCACTCCGAAGAGACCCAGGATCCTCTGTTGAGGTGGGATACCAGCCTGAAACCAGGGCCATGCTTGGTCTCCCTCTGCTGGGTCACCGACAATGCTGGGGTGGGCCGCCAGATCCCTTCCAAGTCTAAGGCATGTGCTCTCCCACTGCTAAGACAGCTGGCCGCATTTTACAGGTAAGCACTCATAGCCGCATCCCTCTCCAGGAAGCCCTCTTAGCCAAAAGAAGCTGCCCTGCCCAAGGGAATGCCCCTCCCTATGGAGAGCAGACATTCAGTGACTGCTGTTGGGGCACAAAGGCCATGTGTGGGACATCTGCAGGGCCATCCCACTCTTGAGCTTTTCAGGCTGGGGCCCTCCTGGGACTTCACTGTGGTTCAGCTTCTCCCTCTGCCTAATTCCACCCCGTCACCCTGAGAGTGCTCCACAGTAAACCTCCTGCACGTAAACCTCACAGTTTCCTGAGGAAACTGACCTACAGCAAGACCTCATTTTGTTCATTCCTTCACCCCATTTGTCCACTAAAAAAAATTATTTTTGTAGAGATGGGGTCTTTACTATGTTGCCCAGGCTGTCTCAAACTCCTGAGCTCAAGTGATCCTCCTGCCTCAGCCTCCCAAAGTGCAGGAATTCTAGGTGGGAGCCACTGCACCTGGCCATTTGGTCTGTTTTTATAGTCATTTACTGAATACACACTAAGAGCCAGGCATGACAAATAAATGGACCAGGGAGGAGATCTAAAGTTCTTCCCAGAGTTCCCTTTCTGTGGCTCAAAACTCCCAGTCTCAGCAAGCCCCAAATTCCCACGTTCATCCCATCCCCGGAGCCCTGGGATTCCTGGAGGAAGTGGGTTGAGTCGGAATCCCCATGGGGACCCCGTAGGCCACTGGCTAGCCTGCCCCAGCCCCAGGGTAACAGTAGGGATGCAGAAACGGGGATCTTACCTCTTGTTGAGCACCATGTTCCCCAGCTTCAGGTCTCTGTGCACGATGTTTTTCTGCAAAACAACGGGCATATGGTTTACACTGTCACTGTGAGAGCTGGGGTCAGGGCCCACCCTGTAAGAGGTGTTTAAGAAGGCAGGAAAAATTCTATGAGATGTGTTTCTCTAGGCTCCAACCACAGGCAGATCAGGACAGTTCCAAGTCCTCAGCACCCATGCGTCTGGGTGGGGAATGAATGTGCACCTAGTCAGTGTCTCGCCATCTGCGGCAGCTTCTCCAGCTCTTTCTCCCCTCAGGGCCGCAGCTGGTGGGGAAAGCCACTTGCTTCTTTCCCTCCATCAGACATCCCATGGACAGGATGGATCTGGGGGTCAGACAGGAGCTGTCATGGCTTTGTGGCTAAGTACCACAGGATAGGCCCACAGAAGCAGTGCACTGGGAAAGAGGCTCAGGCTCTCCTACCCTTTGTCTCGGGGTACCTGACACCTCTAATCCTACAAAAAGCTCAGACATGCTGTAGTTGCTTGGGTGGGTATTCTCACTGTCGTCACTACATGGGGGACACCAGGCCTCTTAACTGACAGGGAATTATACACGGGTTCCGCTGGGCTGCGGGTCAGCGCTCACCAGGAAGATGGCCTCCAGGGTGGCACTGTGCCTCACCCTGTGCACCTGCCATTCAGCCACTCTTCTTCTGGATATCCCCAGCTATAAGGCACACCCGGTGGACAGGACAGAGCTGCCTTCTGCTCAGCAGCAGCAAGAAAGGTGGCCTTCTGTGGCCAGAAGGCATGGAAGCAGAGCGTGGCCTCACCTGGTGCAGTGCCTCCACCACACGGACCACGTCGTAGAAAATGACCACAGTCTCCCGCTCACTGAGCCTCTTCTCCTTGATGACGTAGTGCTGTAGGTTGATAAGGTCAGCGGTCTTGTCGCTGAAGTCATGAGCACAGAGGCAGTCCAGGACGAGGCAGATGCGCTTCTTCATCTTCTTAACCATTCGGCTGGATTCCGTGTCTTCAACGATTTCACAGGTGCGGTCCTGGGAGGCAAGAGGGTAGCACAGGGCTTGGCTGTGAACCCGGCAGGGCCAAGGCCAGCATTTGGGACTCTCCTCTGGGGTTGGACACTCAAACCAGTGAGGGAGCCTGGAATAAGCCTGTATGTGCAGGCCGTAGAGGACTGAGGCCTGGGCAGCCTGGACCATGGGGCCGCTCAGCACTGTGCAGCCTCTTGTGTGCCAAATGCCAGGACCAGCAAGAGGCTGAAACATCTCAGGTGAAGGCTTAATGCTTTGAACATAATTACAAAGGATTCAGATCAGGTCTGGGCATTTAAAGACTAAGGGCCCTCTCAGCCCAGTGCTCAAGCAGCAAAAATGGGGCATCCTCCTTCCATGGCACCCAGATTCCAATAATCACCAACAGAGCCTCCTTTCAGTGTCTAAGACGGTGGGAGTTAGAAAGAGGTCCATCTTGGCAGGCTCTGGAGGCTTCCCAGGGTTCTGTGTCCAGGACTCCTGTTTTCCTCATGGTTGCAGTACTCCCAACAGTCACATAATGGTGGCTAAGAGTGACTCTGACCTCTTAGCCACTGGGTTCAGGCCCCAGCCCTAGCTGTGGGACCTGGAGCAGTTTGCTTAACCTCTCCAAGTCTCTAGTTCCTCATCGGTAAAAGGGAGCTAGTAATCCCTCCCTCACAGGTCCAGAGAAGTAAATAAGACAGTCCACATCCTGAGCTTAGGTCCTGGACTGCCAGGGCTCAGTGAGTGGGTACTGCCATCAACGTTGTGGCTGCCAGATGGACAGACACAATGGTAGCAAGCTCTAGACCCATTTTCCTTGCTGAAAGGTATTTCGAGTAAGACAAAAAGCACGTACAACCTGGGGACTCCATCTGACCAGTGTGAGGAAGCCCTTGGTGGCATGCCAGGCAGACTGACTGCCCCTCTGGGGAACTCCTGGAGGACTGGATATCCACATTTCTTCTTTTTCTTTCTTTCTTTTTTTTTTTTTTTTGAGATGAAGTCTTGCTCTGTTGTCCAGGCTGGAGTGCAACAGCACAATCTCAGCTAATTGCAACCTCTGCCCCCTGGGTTCAAGTGATTCTCCCGCCTTAGCCTCCTGAGTAGCTAGGATTAGAGATGTGCGCCACCCCGCCTGGCTAATTTTTTGTATTTCTGTAGAGATGGGGTTTCACCATGTTGGCCAGGCTTGTCTTGAACCCCTGACCTCAAGTGATCCACCCGCCTTGGCCTCCCAAAGTTCTGGTATTGCAAGCATGAGCCACTGCAACCGGCCTCACATTTCTTCTTAACAGAAGGACCACATCTCATATTTGCTTTTCCCAGAGCCCCTAGCACTGTGTCTGGCCACAGACGGTACACTAGAAACAGTTTTGATCACCCAAAATGACATGAACCAAGGCCAACCTTTTGAAAGATATCAGAGACAAAATACCAAGACACCACAATCACCCTCAATTTGATTTCATGTTTAAGGGAATACTTTAATTTTTGTAGTTGCCTAATGATACTGAGTCTCCTCTAATTGCAAATCTAAGAAAAAAGACCGTGGTGGGTATACACATAGGGGTGGGAAGCGCTTTCCATTTGCTTTACTTCAGGAACTCAAGCTGACAGGGAGTTTTTATTGCCTGAACAGCAATGATGATGACAGCGTTCCAGCTGCAGCTCGGTGCTTTACACACACTCACTCATCTTCCCAGCCACCACTGGAAGTAGGTACTGTTATCGCTATCCCCATTTTACAGACAGGGAATCTGAGGCCTAGAGACCTGAAGTGACTTGCCCAAGGTCACACCACCTGAATCCAGGAACTGTTAGCATGAAAATCTGACTGCTCTCTCTGGCACTGTGCTGACTCTCATATAGTAGATCTGTCTGGGCAAGAGCTGGTCTTGGCCAGCAAATAGCCGAGGGCTTGGTGGATGCCCAGCTGAGGAATGGGGCTGTTCCCAGACCTGTCCAGGAGGCCTCCTGGTCATTGTGAACCCAGGTCTTCATTTCTGGAGACACAACTTACAATGTTGCCCCAAGAATGGTTCTTGTCATGTACACGCTGTTAATACCCTTCCTAAGGGACCTGGAACATCTGAGCACAGGAGCACAGGAATATTTGCCAGACAAACTGAAATGCCTGAGCAGGCAGAAAAACAGGTGGTCCCAAAACAACTGTGGAGATCTGCAGATGGCCCCAAATGCTGATTCCTTCCTGTCACCTTTCCTCCCACCCCAGCCTGGCCAACTCCTGACGACGCGGCCCAAAACGGCTCAGGTCCAGGTGTGGTGGCTCACGCCTGTAATCCCAGCATTCTGGGAGGCAGAGGCAGGTGGATCATCTGAGGTCACGAGTTCAAGACCATCCTGGGAAACATGGGGAAACCCAATCTCTACGAAAAATACAAAAATCAGCTGGGCGCAGTGACACGTGCCTGTAATTCGAGAGGTTGAGGCAGGAGAATTGCTTGAACCTGGGAGGAAGAGGTTGCAGTGAGCCAAGATTGCGCCATTGCACTCCAGCCTGGGTGACAGAGTGAGACTCTGTCTCAAAAAGAAAAAAAGGGGGCCCGGGTGTCTTTAAGTGACTTCCTGCTTTCCTCTTTTCTCGGAAAAGTGGCTCTTCAAAGAAAGCCTGGCTGTTGTAAGATACAAACTGTGTGTATTCCTGCTAGGCTGTAACCATCTCCACAAGAGCACAGCTAGTATGGCCCAGCCTGACTTCCAGCCCAGCCCACCCCACCCACCCTGGAAGTCCTTACATACTCAGCACAGCAAGGACACCCGACGGTCACCTGAGCTGCTCATATGGCTGTGGCCCCAGCAAGCGGTAGCCCCCGAAGCCAGCCGGAGGTGGGTGTGAAGGGTGGGGGAAGGGCAGGCCGCTCACCTGGAAGAGGCCGTGGTGGTGTACCACGCCGTCCTGCGTGTGCAGGAGAGACAGCAAAGAGTACTCGGTGTGCAGCAGCATCTTGCCTTGCCGCTCCTCCTGGCTCTCTATGCCTTGGTCCCCCCTCTCCTCCAGGGTCAGGATCTTTAGGAAAGCACAAAAATAAAACGAAAACCAGAACACCTCACTTTACACAGGAGAATGACCAGAACAGGGGAAGCAGGGGGCTTTCTACCACATGACATTTGCACACAACACACCCACAAACACACCAAGTGAAATCGTTTTTCTTAATATGACAGCAAAGTAATTTATGCACAGACAAAGCTCTTTAAATCTGGAGCTGTTCCAAGGGAGACCATGTGAACTTGATTGCTTCTCGGGAAGAAACGGCGCTACTCTTGTTCACAAGTGACACAGGTGTGAAGGTGGGGGGGGGTTGGCATGACAGGCCCTGGTCCTGAGGCACCCTCACCCCCACATCTCACTTACCTTCAACTGATAGAAGTCATCCGTGCCATCTTTCCTTGCCAAACACTGCACAATGCTTGGCACCGGTGAGTTGCCCAGACGAGGACCTATGGCACAGAGAGCTGCTGGTCTACTTTTCAGAAGCCCTGGCTGTCACGGCGCCAGGTCACCACGTAGTCTTTCACTAGGCCTTCTATTCAGGAGGGCACCATAGCTCACGTGCACTTGACTGACCTCCCAAGGTCAGCTGAGAGTTTTCAAGGTCTCCCCTCCAAAAATAGAGAGGTATGTGTGCTCTGCCTGGAACACATCCAGCTTTTGCAGGCACATTTCTCAAAGAGAAGTTTTCGACCCTGAGTGGACGCTGGAATCTCTAGGAAGCATCTACTAAAAACAAGAGATCCAGCCAGGCGTGGTGGCTCACACCTGTAATCCCAACACTTTGGGAGGCTGAGGTGGAAGATTGCTTCAGCCCAAGAGTTTGAGACTAGCCTAAGCAACATAGTGAGACTTCTTTTCTACAAAAAATAAAAAATGTGGCTGGGCATAGTGGAGCATACCCGTAGACTCAGCTACTTGGGAGGCTAAGGTGGGAGGATCACTTGAGCCCAGGAGGTTTAGGCTGCAGTGAGCTGTGTTTGTGCCACTGCACTCCAGCCAGGGCAACAGAGCAAAACCCTGTCTCAAAAAACAAACAAAACCCAAGAGATCCTGGGTCCTGTGAAGAGCAACTTTAGGGTTAGGATCCAGGAAACTATAGCTATAGCAACAGGTTCCCTGGTGATGCTGATACAGCCATCTGGCCTCTGTTCAAGTGCCAGCTTTGGGGACCTTATGTACTTCTGGAGGTGCACAGTGCTCACTGTCCTGTGACAGCATCTTGCACGAGCTATCAGAGTGGAAATCTGACGTCACAGTGCCACTGTTGCGTGAAAAACACTTTTTTTTTTTGAGATGGAGTTTTGCTTTTGTTGCCCAGGCTGTAGTGCAATGGTGCGGTCTTGGCTCACCATAACCTCCACCTCCCGGGTTCAAGCGACTCTCCCACCTCAGCCTCCCGAGTAGCTGGGATTACAGGTATGCACCACCATGCCCAACTAATTTTGTATTTTTAGTAGAGATGGAGTTTCTTCATGTTGGCTAGGCTGGTTTTGAACTCCCGACCTCAGGTGATCTGCCTGCCTCGGCCTCCCAAAGTGCTGGTATTACAGGCATGAGTCACCGTGCCTGGCCAAAAAACTCTTAATGAAGCTCTGCTGCTCTTTTTTTCCTTCTTACCAGTGAAATGTTCACAGACCCACTGCTCCTAACATAGCACCCAAACTCCTCTCTCTGGCCTCCAAGGCCTTGCATGATTCAGTTCCTGCCCACCTTTCTAACTGAGGATATTCCATGCCCTGTACCCGCCAGACTCCAGCTCCTAATGCTGGGCTCCTAATTACCAACATGCTAAGCCCTTTCCTGCTGCTGGGCCTCTGCACGTGCTACTGCTTCTGTCTGCAGTGCTCTTCCCCAGCTTTTCCCACAGCTGCTGCTGCTCCTCCTCAGGTGTCAGCTCACGTGGCACTTCCTCATAGAGAGGCCTTTCTTGCCTGCCCTACCTATGGGCCTTCTCATCTCATGTCATTGTGGAACTTCCTTCAAGGCTTCTGCACTGCTGGTGATGTCTGGCGAGATGTTTACTGTTTCTTTTTCCAACTAGAATGTTAAGCTCTGTGAGGGCAGGAACTTGTCTGCCTTATTCACTGCTGCCTCCCCGGCAAACAGCACAGGCCTGGCATGTGGTAGGCACCATTAACTATGTAATGAGCTGGAACTATCCTGTGCCTGTAAGTTCAAAATTCTGTCCCAAAGTACAACTTGCACCCAGTCTCTGGCTGCAACCCTGACTATAAGCAATTTGGATTGCTGGTCCTTACACATCATGCAGAAATGCTCTGCTGCTCCTCTGGCTAACTGCCAACACCTGTGCCAGGATTTAAAGACATTTGGGAGGCTATACAAAATGCTTTGTGAAATCATGCCATCCAAGAATAGCATAAAGCAGTGTCTTGGATGATGGATCTTGGGTTTTTAATTTTAATTTTATTTTTTAGAGACAGAGTCTCGCTCTGTTGCCGAGGCTGGAATGCAGTGGCGTGATCATGGCTCACTGTAACCTCAAACTCCTGGGCTCAAGTAATCCTCCTGCCTCAGCCTCCCAAGTAGCTATGACTACAGGCATGTGTCACCATATCCAGTTAATTTTTGTATTTTTCTTGTAGAGACGGAATCTCACTATGTTGCCCAAGCTTGCCAAGTCTTGAACTCCCAGCCATAAGCGATCCTCTCACCTCAGCCTCCCGAAGCGCTGGGATTGCGTAAGTGAGCTGCCACACCTGGCCAGATCTTGGGTTCTAATGCAGCTAATGGGTTCTAATGGATGTGCTTCCTGTGGGCACAGCAACATTGTAGGTGCACACATAGGATTCTCTAGGAGAAGAGGCAGAGCCTAGCTATTGGCTAAGACTGATCTAAGGCTGATGCGGCTACAACACTGACAGCCCCTGGTGCAGTGACCTAAGGCTTGGGTCTTCCACTGATATACATATACTCTGCTTCAAGCAGTGATGCTAGGGACCAGGCTGGGGGCAGGGCAGGACCACACCACTGCAGTGGGTAGGCCACCTCACTCTGATGTCTGTAAGGGTCAGATTGTGCGAGCCAATGTGCCCTGCGCCTGCCTCGCAGCACACCCATTTTTCCCAAAAGTCAGAGGCTTACCAAGGATGAATGGTCCAGCTCTCTTTGCATTATTTCCAGAAATCCCACTTCCTAGAGCCTTGGCCCTGGCCGACGTTTCCCCAGCTCCTCTGTCTGATGCTCTCCGCTTCATTCTCAGCTCTAGACAAGACAGAAAAGACCCCTTCTCACTGAGTAAGTCAGCGAGTTTCCTTATGCTAACCCAGCCTGCAAGTCTTTGAATTGGGATGCGTCACACAGCTGCTGATGCTGCTGTTCCATTGCAGCTGCTACCTCCTGCTCCCAGAGGAGCCTCCAAGGCTCCAAGTGACAAAGAACCACAGCTCCCTTACTTGGGATTAATTAGATGCTAAAGGCAAACATCCTTTAAGGCAGCATATACAGGGTACGGAGGCAGAGAGCCAACACACCACCACGAAGTGGCCAGTTAAATTCGGAGAGGAGAAAACTGGGCTTTGTGCAGATGCCAAAACCAAACAGAGCCCCAAGAGACCACCACAGAGGCCGAGAGGAGAGCCAGCCCCATCCAGCTGAACCCCAGCCCTGAGCAACTTCCCAAAGTGAGACCTGCCCTCCAAATACCTATGGCCTGATGAACTGAGCTGCCCATTCCTGGCCCCTATCTGGACAGTGGGCCCCAGGAATGGGACATTTGTTATACATGAGGCCTGGGGGCTTCTTATGCCCATGGAGTTTGACGACTACTGCCCTGAGAACCCCTCTCCCCATCTTTCCTTGACTCTCTGCTCCTTTCGGATGAAAGAACCCCCCCAAAGTTGTCAACGGTGGGGTTTACTGTTTCTTTCCTCATAAATGCAAATTTTTCCTGAATTACTTTTCAGAAAAAGAAAATTCACTGTGTATTTAAGAGTAAATTAAAGAACTCTACTGGAGATCGCTGAGCACTCTGATTTGCCTGATGATCCTGAGATCCTCCTACGTAAAAATGAAAGGCGCTGGGCGTGGTGGCCCACGCCTGTAATCCTAGCACTCAGGGAGGCCACAGCGGGCAGATCACCTGAGGTCAGGAGTTCAAGACCAGCCTGACCAACATGGTGGAGCCCCATCTTTAGGAAAAAATAAATAAATAAAAATGAAAGGCAGACATTTGGAACCAGAGGCTAAAAGACACTTCAAGACATAGATTAAAAAAATAAAATAAAATAAAAACACAAAAAAGGAGTTGCTTCTTCCAGCTCTCCAAAGTCAAACACTTTGGGAAAGCAGGTCCAGGGGAGACAAGGAAACAGATGTGTACAGACGAGTTCCACGCGGGGAAGGTCAGGGGTCACAGGAATGCCCAGTGTGTGCGAGGGGCTCCGGGAAAACTTCCCTAAGGATACAGGAGTGGGCCAGGCCAAGGGCAAGGACGTTCGTGTTGGAAAGGCCTCAGTGCACAAACATGCCCAGGTAAGAAATGGCATGCAAGCAACCAACTCCAGGTAGTTTGTGTTGTTGGAGCATCCAACATGAGGCAGGGAATGGTGAGAGGTGGCCCAGAGACAGAGGCCTGACACCCACCTTAGGAGTGTAGCCTTTACCCCTCCATAATGAACTAAAAAACACAGAACCCCAGCCTGTTCCTGTGTTTTTCTTCATATAAAAGCAATTGACGTTCTCTGCAGGAACATTAGAAAATACATATATGCAAAAATAAGAAGATAAGGTACCCATGATCTCACCTCCCAGATATAACTGCTGTTAACAATCAAGGATCTTTTTCTTGCGTGTATGCTTACATAAGGTTTTTATTAATACAAACATCTGGACCACACTGTGATGCTATTTTATAAGTTTCCTTTTCTCTCACCTAAAATACATTAAGGGAGGCCACCCATTGACATCCCTGCATCACAATAGAGAGCTACACAGTCTCCTTGGAACAAATACACAGTGATTTCTCTGACCATGCTCCATGCTTGTAATCCCAGCACTTTGGGAGGCCGAGGTTGGTGGATCATCTGAAGTCAGGAGTTCGAGACCAGCCTGAACAACATGGTGAAACCTTGTCTCTATTAAAAATACAAAAATTAGCTGGTCGTGATGGTATACAACTGTAATTCCAGCTACTTTGTGGCTGAGGCATGAGAATCACTTGAACCCAGAAGGCAGAGGTTGCAGCAAGCTGAGATCACACCACCGCACTCTATCCTAGGTGACAGAGTGAGACTCTGTCTCAGAAAAATAAAAAATGGTGGTGGGCGCCTGTCTCGTGAGGCTGAGGCAAGAGAATTGCTTGAATTAGGGAGCCAGAGGTTGCAGTGAGCTGAGACGGCACCACTGCACTCCAGCCTGGGGACACAGCAAAACTCCATCTCAAAACAAACAATCAAACAAAAAACATTCAGAGTAAAAATTTTTTTTTTTTTGAGATGAGTCTCGCTCTGTCGCCCAGGCTGGAGCACAGTGGCTGGAGTGCAGTGGCACGATCTCGGCTCACTGCAACCTCCTTCTCCTGGATTCAAGCTATTCTTCTGCCTCAGCTTCCTGACTAGCTGGGATTACAGGGGTGCGCCACCACGCCCAGCTAATTTTTGTATTTTTAGTAGAGATGGGGTTTCACCATGTTGGTCAGGCTGGTCTTAAACTCCTGACCTCGTGATCCACCTGCCTCAGCCTCTCAAAGTGCTGGGCTTTCAGGTGTGAGAGCCACCATGCCCAGTCATGGGTAAATTTTACAGTATGTGAAATGCATCTCAATAGACTGTAAAAAACAAAACAAAAACCCATTGACATCCCTGCATCACAACAGAGAGCTACACAGTCTCCTTGGAACAAATACACAGTGATTTCTCTGACCATTCCCTACTTATGGACACCTAGGTTCTTTCGATTAAAAAAAAATTGTCATGCACATACAAGTATACATCTTGTCATACTTATCTGTCTCCCTCTGGATAAATTCCAAGAAGCAGAACTGCATAGTCAAGTGAGGTGCATTTTTTTTTTCAAATCCCCATTAGACTAATACAAGGGGGGCATGTTTTTAAGGTATTTGACATATGCTGCCAGGCTGCTCCCAGGATGGCTGTGCCAATTTACAGTCCCATCAGCAGTGTGGGAGAGTGAGTTCCAGAACTTGCACCAGGACTGATTTATTTCCTTACTCTTATAAATGGCCAATTTGGTGGGCAACAAAAAGCACAGCATTTAAAAATCCATAATTCTTTCAGTATTTCTGAGGTTGAATTTGTTTCATATCCTTTTGGCTGTGTCTATTATTTCTTTTATGAATTTCCTTTATATTATTTTTCTATTTTTTACTGCTATATGTGTATTA